CTGGTGGCCACGCCCCTCCCCGTGAGCGTGTTCCCGCCGCTTCCCCGCCCCCAGCGCGCCCTCGTAGCCACGCCCCTCGGCGCGTCCTCGCGGCCCAGCCTCCGACGCTCCATTGTAGCTGGTTCTTTGCGTCCTCCTTGGCTTGCTTTTATCGCCGGTGCAGTTAGTTCCTCCCTGCTTCTGTCTCTTCGTGCGCCCGGGAAGATGAAACAGCAGTGAGGCAAATCAACCATGGCTTCTCACACCCTGTCGCCCTCTCACCCAGCTTGAAAACATCACGTCCATTCTTTCATTTATGTATTCACTCATTCATAAACATTTGTGAGCGCCTGTGCCTACCCTGTGCTAAGGAGAAGGTTGGGTGAGGGACTCTCGCCCTTAGGCCTCCCCTTTCCCAGGAAGCTAGCCTACAACGCCACTCCTGTCACACACGTAATGGAAGCCCCTGACTGGACCCCATGGCCTCCCACGTTGCCCTTCCTGCCTCGCTCTGAAGTAGCGGTAGATTTATCCTGTTACTGAGGCCAGTCACAGCTCAGGCTGGTGGTGACTGCCCAGGCGGTGCCCTTGAAATTTCAGCTCAAATCTAGCGGCCGTAGAGAGATAGGTGCTATATCTAGAACAGCACGCATTTTCCGCTTGACATTTTCCTAGTAGCAATGAAAATATAGTACAAGTCAAATATAGGTTGGGAACGTAATCAAACTGCAAGGTCTCTGCACAGTCAATCCCTAACAAGGTCCCAGGAGGACCACAGTCCTGAGCCAGAACTGCAGGCCGTCCTGGGCACTGGTGACTAGCACAGTATTTGTGGAGGGGCAAAGGAATTGCTTTCCATGTGAATGTTCGCACTTTCCGTGACCAGTAAGAATGACTAGCTTCAATGAATCCCCGTTCCAAATGCCCTGGATATAGAATCTCGGCTCCCACTCCTGGTACATTGAGCAAAAGCTGAGAAATGAGCTTTGCCCTCAAAACTATGATTTGTCTTTAAACCTTCCAGTTTGGACTTGTCATCTATGAGACTACCTAACTCACGCACTTCTTTTAAAACCTCATTTAATTTTATATTTTAGATTCATGCAACCATTTAACAAGTTCTGTATGTTTAGTGTCCACTGCATTTTCAACATAGTGCCTAGTCTACAGTAAGTTCTCAATGAATATTAGTTAAATGAATGAATAAAGAAAGACTATATTTTTTCCTAAAGTTTCATTCATTCATTCATTCATTCATTTTTTGGTACTGAGTGCCTGTCCTCATAAAGCTTACATTCTGGTGGTGTTGGGAGAGCATCTGATAACCAAATAAATACATATTAGTGTGTCAGATGTGGAGATATGCCTAAAGAAAAATAAGGCAGAGAAAGAGTATGGGGGAGTGAGGGAAGAGGTTGTTATTTTGTACATGATAGTCACAGATAGCCTCACTGAGTACTGCAGGCACAGGATACATGTACTGGGGTGGGACTGTGCTTGGCATGTTGGAGGATAAACAAAGAAACCAGTATGGCTGGAGTGGAATGAGAATGAAGAAATGAGGGCAAAGAGGTGGGTGAGTAGTGATTGGCCAGATCATTCTGGGCCTTGCCATTTTAATAAAAGGACTTTGGCTTTTTTAAACAGGAATAAGATGCTCGTGGCAAATGTGTACGGATTTCGATATAGTCATTTTTACATTAGTGTTAAATGTTAAGAATAGTTATATTTGACAGAAATAGGCAAATGTTACCACAGATATGATTTACTTTGTCAGTAATATATGTTTTTTATGTATTTTTGGAATTATGTAATACAGGATGATGGCAAAATACTACAACCTAAAAAGCAAGTACAATAATGGTATAAGGACAGACATATAGACCAATGGAATAGAATAGAGTCAAGATGTAAGCCAATACATAGATGGTTCATTGATTTTCAGTAAAGATGCCAAGACCTTTCAATGGGGAAAGGACAGTCTTTTCAGCAAGTGGTGCCAGGAAATCTGGTATCCACACGCAAAAGAATGAAGTCATACTCTTATCTTACATTACGTATACAAATTAACTTAAAAAGGAGCAAAGAGCTAAACTTAAGCACTAGAACTGTGGAACTCTTAAAAGAAAACATTGAGGAAAAATCTTCATGACATTGGCTTTGCTATGGTTTCTTGGATATGACACCAAAGGCAGAGGCAACAAAAGAAAAAATAAATAAATTAAACTTCATCAAAATTAAAAACTTTTGTGCATCGAAATGTATATTTTACCATAACAAAAAATTACATGCAAATTATCCCTCTAGAATTTTGAGGGAAAATCTTGATGGGTAAAGTTATCATCTGATGTTGGTGCTCTCTGATTGGAGCAGATTTTAAGTGCTGTGTTTTTCTCTTTTATGGTTACCTGTGAGTTCTCTATAGGACCTGAAGTCACTGGGGATCTTTCTCCCATGACTTCCTTGAGAAGGACAATGCCTTTATCTGCTGGCTGCCTGCGTCTCCTTCTCAGATCTTGGTTAGGGTCCCCTAGATCCTATGGGCAGCCTTCTTCAGTAGGGTCCCTCCCAAGATAACCCAGTTTAGATACTACATTTAGAGCCTACCGTCTAGTCTTCTGGAAATATGTATGCATTCTTGTCCCACCAAATTCTGGACGTGATCTGTTGTAGAGAACTGGCCAACCCAGTTTTTCCACTTCAGTCTCCGCTGAGTGGAAAGAAGTAGGGAAAAATCATGGCCCCTTGACTACTCTGGAAATTTTCTCTAAGGAAGTTCTCACTAAGGGTCTCTTTAATCTCCTAATGAACCTGCCTTTAGTAGCTCGAAGGAGAGAATAGGCTAAAACATGCAGAACTGATTTCTCAGTGTCTTCGCACATCCTCCTTCATGGACTGTGCCTAACTGTCCTTTAGAACAGGAAATTTTTCAAGCCTTTTGTTTTGTGAGGCCTCTTCAAAGGCAGAAATGGGTCCCTTTTAATATTCTACACTGGAGCATTAAATCATCACAATCCCTATATTCCAAGAAAGTCCTTTGCAAAGTACAAGAAGATGGTGAGGAGGAATAGAGACAGGTTTTATCTGTCATTACTTGGAACACTGATAACACCTAGCCTTTTGTGTCATACACATGTCACCTGAGAAGGAACTTCAATCCTTAATCAAGTAATCCTCCAAGGGCAAGGATGCATTCTTCCCTGGCCTCTCTAACCTTGGCCCCTGGCGAGAAGCAGAAGAGCCCTTACAGAAAATCTGACCAAGCATATCTGCACCTTTTCCCACCACAGGAACTGTAATTTAGTAAATGTAATTGAACTTTTAAAAAGGAGTATCTATCATGCCTTTAGGTTCTAAATGTTGATTCTCCTTGTGTATACAGCTCCTCAGATGTGTGAGATGTAGAAATCAGCTTAATGTGTAAATTGTGAACCTGTCCACAGTCTAGAGTATGTGTATATAGTCTCTACTTTGATACTCATTGTAGAGAAATAGTGAAATGTTGCAATGTTGGTACAGTGGGGACAAAGACAGCATTTATAGTTTTCTCAACTGGGGAAAATATTTTTTAAAAAATGAGTTATGTACAAAGGATCAGGAATCAAAATAGCTTATAATCACCAAGAAAAGTTGATCAAAATAGTCTTCTTATAATAGCAAGCCTAGAAGCAAAAAGACAATGCAATACTATCTTCAAAATATTGAAAGAGAGCAATTCCCAACCTACAATTCTATACCCAACCTAATAGCAATCAAATGCAAGAGAAGAATAAGGATATTTTCAGGTATAAAAAATGTATCTTCCAGGTACTATTTCTGGATGTGAGGCACCAAAATGAGGGCATAAACTATGGAAAAGAAAGACATAGCATATAGAAGAGAAGATAAGGCCATTCCCAGAAGGATGGCGAAAGAAGACAGCAGTGTGACAGCTATGCCCCGATGTATGGAAGGCATTGGCCCAGGCTACAGGAAGGTGACTCAAAAGACAGACATGCGGAGGAATGTTATCAGGATGCCTTCTGCTCTCGTATCATGTTTTTTATCCTGAAAATACTCACGTGAGCATGGCCCAGATTCTTAACAGTACCTGGTCAGCCAGCGTCCTAAAGCTGCCAGATTCTTAACAGTACCTGGTCAGCCAGCGTCCTGCTCCACTAAAGCTCCTGCCCTTCACTCTGTGCCCTGTCATGTGCATCAGCTGAGAATTCTCATTTACTCCAGAGGAATTCGTTGACAGATCTTGAGAATTGGAGTTGGCCATGGTGGACTCTGAAGCAGAAAATGCAGAGCAACCCATCACTCCCCATAGGATTTCTGATGGCTGATGTCTGTGCCACAACACAGACCCAAATGCAAGCCTGTGTCTTGGCCTTTCTCAGTGACATCCACACACGGTCTCTAACGAATCTCATAGAAGTTGAAGCCATACTAGCTCAGGAAAACCATTACACCTATTTTTTCCCTAGAGTCTTTCTCTTACAGTGGCAATACTATTTTGTTCCTTACACAGCAAGAAGTGTGTTTGCTTTTGAATTTTTATATCAATCATCTTTCATAATCATGAACAGATAAAAGTAATCAAATAATAAAATATTTGATTGAGAAAGATAGAAGGAAAAGAAAAAAGAGAAGTTATACTTATAAAGGCTATTAGAATCATGAGGACAGATTTATAAAATAATACATTAATATTTAAATAATGTGCATAGTTCTACTGAAACTCTCCATGGCGTCTTGAGGATGGCAAAAGGGTTGAGACGAGAGGCGATATAGGAGAGACAAAGTAATGCCCAGTTTCTTTTCTTGGTCTTTTCTTATCCTTCATCCCTCTCTCTCAGTGTACACACACACACACACACACACACACACACACACACACACACACGCACACAATTTGTGAAAAAAAAAAATCTCAACTTCCTCCTTTTAAGGGAAGGAGATGTTGCAGAGATATTATGATGTAATGGGAGCCATCTGAAGGACACTGGTAACATTATGAGGTCAGGATTTTACTGAAATGTTTGCCCATGTGAAATGCATTAGACCGAAGTCAGCATTCCTCCCTGCTAAAGGCAGCTCTTACTCCTTCCCACAGGGTGGGATTTTAAGATCAAAGGAATGAGACTTAGGGCAAAAACTGAGACAGCAGGAGGCACTGTAACAACTGTAAGGTTTTCTGAGTTGGCAAATCTGCATTTTTTTTTACAGAAAAAATAATATTTTTTACAGAAATAGCAGTTTCCCTGTGTCCCAATGGCTACCAAGAAGGAAAAGCGTCTCAACATTTCACGTCAGATTAAGTTCAAGACAGCCCTGAATGGGTTTGAAAAATTGGTTGAACATATAGTAGCCCAGAAAAAAGACGAAAGAGCAGGCCTGTTTGTCAGAAAAGAAGGTAAGATCAGTGATTACATGGCAGCCAGTTTAGTCTGTCGATTAGAACTGGGAAATGTTTTAGGCTATCAGAGAGAAGCAGCATAGCTTAATAGCAAAGACAGTGAGTGGGGGGCCCTGAGTCTTCATTCTGACTCTGTCTCTAAATAGCTAAGTGGTCTTAGGGAAGATCTTTTTCACTTGTCTGAACCTTAGTTGTCTCAAACATAAAATTAGGGCTTTGGATTAAATGACATCTGAGGATTGTTCTTGGGCTCTACCATTTGATGGCTCACTGGTTGATCTGGGAATCAGTGGTACATGTGAGCTACCCTGCTGTCTCTTTATTTAAGGGTGTCATGAGACCATAAGGACTTTCATAAGCAAAGCAAGGTTTCCTCTGAAATTTCTATTCACTATCTGGGCCTATCCGCATGCCAATAAAGGGAATGTGAGGGACAGTGGTCTGCCAGAGCTATTAGCAGTAGAGATAGCAATGTAGAACTAAACATATGTTGCCATGGTCAGGAGTTCAGGGGAGAGGTGTAGTGTGACGATTCAGGGCTTTGAGGAAGCAGGAGTGAGTAAGGCTTAGCGGCATAGCAAAGACTAACACAACAGATCTTGCTATTGCAAAGAAAAGAGCATGCATGGCCCATACAACTGCTAAGGGGCCAGCATAGCCAGCCTCTCATCGTGCCAGGCTGCATAGTCATAAGTGAGTGAAAATGTTGACCTTGGGTGATCAACCCCAAGCTGATATTATTTAAATAGTATTTAAGAATTTACAAATCACTTTAAGAAATGTAATTTCATTGATTCTCATGACAATTCTGAAGGATGAGAATTACTATTATTGCTACTATCCCAATTTTATTCGTTAAAAAGTGAAAAGTACAGATAGATCATCTGCCCAAGTCACTAAACTTCTAAGTATTAAACTAAGACTCAGCCCTTTTAGAGATACATTTGAGATTATGGTGAACCTGGCTTGGCTTCTTAAACTACTCAACAAAACTTTCATTTTCATAGTCAGTTTGTTTTACCTCTCTTCATAATTGATTTTTCAAATCCTTACCACCTCTCCTGAATCCTCTACAGGATCTCGGCTCCTCTTAGCTAAACTTCCAACATCATAGGAGAAAGCAAGGCCAAAACACAAATGCTCTCGAGTTCTTTTTCTCCACGTCCATGGTACCCAGCAGCACCTGTCCTTTCTTCCTTCCCTCCTCCCTTTCAAGGCTTTCACTTTGCTGCAACAACGTCAAAATCTCCCTTTTCACTGATTTTGTTCTCTCAAACTCAAAATATACCCAACCGTTCTGACCTTGACTTTCTTTTCCTTTTAAGACACCATTGTATGTCTTTGCTTCTCCACCAATTTCCCCATAGCATCTCCACTTAATTCTCAATCTACTCAAGTCCGGCTTCGCTCGTCAGTTTGCTGCAAATGCTCTTACCCAGGTATTGAATCGCCAAACATGGCTGCCAAATTCGATAAATTGTTTTCATTTTCCAGCTTACTGGCCATTTCACTGCAGTTAGCTGTCACTGCTTCCAGAAGCTTTCTCCTTCTGTGTCTTTCATCATATCACTCTTATTTTTCCCCCTTTCTCATTCTTTCTTTGACTCTTTTTTTTTTTTTTTTCTGAGCTTCACCTGTATCCTCAGTCTTATTGCATAATGCCATCTACCTAGTCACCTAAGCCAGGGATCTTAGTAAAACCTTTGCCTATTTTGTGGTATCTCACTCAGGATATCAACAACCTCTTAATAGTCTCCTTGCTAAGAGTTATTTCCCTCCTCTAAATTTCTGCTCAGCTATTTGAATATCTCATAGGAATTTTAAACTTAATATGACCAAGATGGAGTGTTTATTTTCCCCAAGAACCATGGTCCTTCCTCTGTTTTGGTAAATAGTATCAAGTTTTAAAACCAGAAACCTGAGTGTCGTTCTAGATAGGGTTTCTCAGCCTTGGCACTGCTGACATTTGGAGTTGGATAACTCTTTGTTCTGTACACGTACCTGTGTGTGTGTGTGTGTGTGTGTGTGTGTGTGTGTGTGTAAGAGGGTCTGTCCTGTGCATTGTAGCATGGTTAGCAGCATCTCTGCCCTATGTCCCCCAGATGCCGGTAGCACCCTCATCCCTAGTTGGAACAATCAAAAACATCTGCAGACATTGCCAAATGTTCCCGTAGAAAAGAGAGGGGGACATCTCCTCTAGATAAGGGCCATTGCGCTAAATTCTCACCTTTTGTTCACTCATCATTTTTGCCCCCAACATCTTCCAGTCCATTAGCAACTGCATCTCACCACCTGCAATGCTACCTCTTGGGTGCTTATATCACTAATTACCCAATTGAGGGCTCCTTCAAGAGTGAAAGGGGTTGTTATTAAGAATTAGGTTGAGAAAATAAGCATAAATAAAACTTTCTATGGCAGACCAGGACATATGTTTATCCTACCCTGGCCCAAATCCCCATCGTCTGAAACCCTGCCCTATGCCATTTTGAGAGCTTTCACTCTAATCTCCTCATAGCTGCCACTGCACTTCCAAAAAATTTTAAGTCAATTCATGTCACTTCCCTAAATAGAGCCCTCCAGAGATAGCTTATCATCATGCTTAGAATAAAATAGAAGCTTCTGGCTCAAGCTCTGCCCTCCTTCTCCTCTGGTCTCACCCTGCAGCTCTCTCTCCAGCCCTTCTAGATTCCATATTCAGTGACCATCCAGAACGTGCCAGGCTCTGCCCAGCTCAGCATCTTTGTGTTTGTCAGCCTCTGCCTCAAATGCTCTTGTCTCAATTTACACATGGCTGACTCCTTTTCGCTTCTCGGGTCTTAGCTTAATTTTTTTTCCCCATGTCCTTAGAGATGGCTTCCTTGAGGCCTTCTTCTACCCACCACCACTATCTAATTCATTCACTGCTACATATCACAAAACCTTATTGGTTCCCTTCCTAGCACTTACGCTGTATGTAGTAGTGATTTTTACTTTGTTACTAAGGTATAATATACATATAGTGAAGTCCATCTGAAGTGCATTAATCTGAAGTATATAACTCAATAAATTTGGATATTGATAAACAAGCCTGTAGCTACAAACCAGATCAAGACAAAGAACATTTCTAGAAATGTTCTAAACAAAGAAAAGTCCTCTGAAAGTTCCCTGGTGTCCTTCTTAACACAGATAGCCACTAATCTAGTCTTTCTGTCACAATTTGCAAATATTTGATTGTTTCCTTGTTAATTTCCTATTTTTTTCTATTTTTTCTATTTCTACATTCTATCACTAGAATGTAAATTTCCTGAAGGAGGGAATTTGTCTGTCTAGTTTTTCCATTCTAAGTCCAGTGTCTAGCTCAGTTCTGACACATAACAGATGCTCAATACATTTTTGCGTCTAACTCTTTATCTTTAGAACCAATAGTCATATGCCAGTGAATCACCAAATTTGGCAAAATCAATATTCAAGAAATAGTGTGTGTGTGTGTGTGTGTGTGTGTGTGTGTGTGTGTGTGTGTTTGCACAGTGTCAAAGAACCAATCAAAACCTGTTCTTTGCTCACTCAAGATGAACTCTAGCAGAGACTCTTGACTGGTAACTTTTCACACCAGAAAGAAGTGATTCACTTTCTTTTCTTTGTATTCCTGAACAAAAGTCCTAAAATAGTTCAGTGAAAGTTATGGAGAAGGTACTAAATACCAAAGAAAAATATTTCTTCTAAGTGATATTTAACAGTCTCTAGTTAAATTTCCAAAGGAAAAAAAATCTTTAAAATGCAGAAGAATCTGGTTTTGTTGTTTTTTGTTTTTGTTTCTGTTTATGTTTTTTATAGGCTGAAATAATGAAATAGAGTGACAAATAGGAAAAGCAATTGGAAAATGCAATACAATCCTTGGAATTTCATAATAATGTTCTTGTACTTTATTACAACGCAGATGTGATTGATTATGACAAGTTTTATGCAGCAGTACAGGAACTCTTTGGTCCAGAAGTGAAGAACCAAGACGTGAAATGCTTTTATAGGAAACTCTGCAACAACCCCGATGCACCTATGGACTGGTGTGAGGTAGTCACTTTTCTTGTTTATAATATGGAATGCAGGTATTCTTTGTTTGGAGTAAATAATCAGATCAAAATGTTACTCCCACAGGGGTAAACCCGCAATGGGGTGGCATGTTTAAATGCCTAGTCCATAAAAGTAAACCAGATGGATGTTTAATTATACTGTTAATGAGTAACTCTTAAAACCTTCCAGGCCAAGTTGCCAACTGCAGAAATTACAAATGCTATTAACAACCACCAAGATTTTAGTGGCCTTATTTACATTCTATTCCTTTTAAATAGTGTCAATGGATACAAATTCCAGTGTATTCAAATTCTTAATATAAGAGGGAAAAAAGGCTATGGTTGACCACCTCTTAAATTTCCTGAATCATTTTCTGCCTAGCACTGCATTGATTCCTTAGAGATCATTCTGGTGTTCTTGGGAGAACTCTCAGAAGCGCCTTTGATTGTTAAGTGATATATGGACTATGGAAACAGAGAGAGAAATGACTCTGATCTTTATTTAAACTCACAGAAGGTGACGCTCTGTAGATTTATTTATAAACTAGGCTGTTCTTATTTTAAAAGGATTCGAGGTAGCTTACAATTTAAAAAATTGCACACATGCATATAGAGTATTTAAAATGATTGTTGAAATTATCTGTCTCTCTCTTAAAGATCAGTAATGTAGTAGACAAAAGAAAAAGGAAGAATTTAAAGTATTTGACTATCACATTTAATGAGTTGGTAGATATGTATAAATAAAACTTTGAACCCAAGATACAGGCAAAATACATCTCAACTACATATACAGTCATCACAAAATTGACCATGTACATGGCTACAAAGAACATTTCAATAAATTCCCATATAATAAAATTATAAACCAATAATAAAAGATCACACAAATCCCCTAAACTAACCAAATAAAAAATCAATTAATTTCAGGAAAAAAAATTACAAACAAAAAGCTTCTGGTAAGTCTTTAAAAAACACATAATTCCCACATTATATACATTTTTCTACAATTTTGGAAAAGCTGAAAAGCATCCAATTAATTTTAAGAGGCTAAAATAACACTGAATTGAACATAGATAAAATGTCAAGGAATTGTAGGCCAATATTATTTATGAATATGTGCTAAGTTCTAGATAAAAACTTAACAAGTTGAATCCAGCAGTGCATTAAAAAGTCATTTCTAAGTAGCATTTACCCAGAAAAGAAAGAATAATTCAGCATTAGAAAACCCAGTAACATATTTTGTTTAACAAGTTAGGGGGGAAAATAATATGATAATCTTAAATTATCTAAGACAAAAACCTGCTTTCACTTCCTAGAGGTTATCTGCAGTATTCTGCCAAACTAAGGTCCATGGGCCAAATCTGGGCAACCACGTGTTTTGTAAACAGAGTTTATTGGAACACAGTGATAATACACACTCATTTATATATTGTCTGTGGTTGCTTTTGTGCTATAATAATAAATTGAATGGTTGTGACAGAGACTGGATGGCCTGCAAGCCTGAAGTAGTTACTACCTGAACCCTTTCAGAAAAAGTTTGCTGACTGCTGACTCCTGATCATAAAACAAAAATATTTGATAAAAATTGAATAGCCATTCCTGTTTTTAAAGAGAAAAAAATCTTAGCAGAATAGGAATAGTAAAAAATTCCCTTAACCCAATAAAGAGGACTGTGTTAGTTCTTTGCAGCTGTTGTAACAAATTACCACAAATTTAGCAACTTTTTTTCCAACTTTACTGAGATGTAATTGACATTTAACATGTGTAAGACATAGATTTGATACACATATATGTCAAAATGATTACAACCATAGGGTTAACTAACACTGCCATCATGTCACACAATAATCATTTTTTCATGTGGTAGGAACATTAAAGATTTACTCTTGTCTATGGCCATGCCACAATAAACAAGCCTTATCCTGTCTGATCTCGGAAGCTAAGCAGGGTCGGGACTGGTTAGTACTTGGATGGGAGACCACCTAGGAAGACCAGACGCTGTAGGCTTAAAAAAAAATAAAAAATAAGGGATTGTAAACTGACAAGGTCCTTGCAATCTGAGAAGTCAACCAAAGATTGCCTCACCTGGAAAAAGAAAAAGATTTACTCTTAGTGACTTTGAAGAATACAGCACAGTGTTATTAACTACAGTCCCCATGTGGTGCATTAGCTCCCCAGAACTTATTGTCTTATAACTGCAAGTTTGCACTCTGCCCAAGACCTCCCCATCTTCCTCACTCCCCAGCCCCTGGTAACCACCATTCTGCTTTCTGTTTCTATGAGTTTAGATTCCACATGTAAATGAGATCATACAGGGTTTGCCTTTCTGTGTGTGACTTATCTCACTTAGCAGGATGTCCTCAAGGTCCATCCGTGCTGTTGTAAAAGGCAGGATTTCCTTCTTTCTAAACTTAACGACTTGAAGAAATAAATATTTATTATCTTGCCATTTCCATGGATCAGGAGTCTGGGCACAACTTCACTGAGTCCTCTGCTCAAAAGATCACAAGGCTGTAATCAAGCTGTTCTCATTCGGAGGATCAACTAGTGAAGAATCTGCTTTCAATTTCAACCAGGGTGTTGGCAGAATTCATATTCTTACTGTTGTGTGACTGAGGACTTCAGCTTTTTATTGGCTGGAAGCTGGAGACCAGAAGCTGCTTACATGTCCTAGAGGCTGTCTACAATTCTCTGCCACATGGCCCTTTACATAGACAGTTCTCAACTTCACTTCTTCAAAGCTGTCAGGAAAATGTCATTTTCTATAGTCCATTAAGGCAGTCTTATGTAAAGTAATGTAATCAATGGAGAAACAGCCATCACATTTGCCATATTCTTTTAGAAGCAAATCACAGGTTCTTTGCACACTCAAGGGATGGATATTATACAATGATGTGACTCACTCTGTGAGGAGGGTGGGCAGGGGTCACTTTAGGATGTGTCCACCATAGGGACTTACTGGAAACATATTTAAAGTAAAGGTCATATTTAATGTTCCTTAAATACTATCAACATTTCCATTAAAGTCAAAAACAAGAAAATGATGTCTATTATCACTGCTACTCTTTAGCATTTATTGAAGATTGTAGAAAAAGCAAGCAAACAAACAAAAACAAAAAAAGGAAGTGATATGTAAAAAAACTCTTAAAAATACAAAATTGTCATTACTTGTAGATGATGTCTACCAAGAATATACAAGAGCAGACTATTAGAATGAAAAAGAGTTCAAGGAAGTTCAAAAAAGATAAACATGTAACAATCAATAACTTTCACAAACAATAACCAATAACTATCCCCCCCACACACACATAAATAACAGGCAGAAAAAAAAGATTCCAGTCACAAGAGCAACAAATAGCAGAATATATGGAATAAATCTATAAAGGAATATACAAGACTATGACATTGGACTGATGAAGAAAGAGAAAATCTGGAAAATAGCTGAGAGACTCAATTTGAAAAGATCTCAACTGCTCCCAAATTAATTTACATATTTAGTAAATATGTAATTAAACAGATTTTTGGAATTAGTGAAATTATAACTAATAGATATCCCAACACACCAATAATTAAATTTCAATACATCCTATGTCTTTTCAATAATTCTTATAAATATTTTAGGTTGCTTGTAGAGATTGAAAACCATTTCACAAACTTTTGATGAATTCTAACAAAGCCCTGGATACCTACAGATTAGCATGAAGATTCTACTGTGGAACATATTACTAACCATGTTCATTTTTGTAAGAAATGAAAATTAACAGTATAATTTTCACTTAGATCTTTACTTGATTATAACATCAAAAATGAAAATGTATGAAAGCACAATATACATGAAAACATAATCTAGATGAAGATATAAATGAAAAGGGGTTACTGGAGTACAAGGTCCGTGTATCAAAGATAATGAATTCTGGTTGCCAAGTTGACTTTTTCTTGTTCTTTTCTTTCTTCCTTCCTTCCTCCTTCCTGCTTCTCTCTCTCTCTCTCTCTCTCATCCTGAAAATGGTTTCCATGGCAATAGTTTAACAGAGCTTGAACTGTAAATATTTTGACCCTCTATTAATGGTAAATTTTCCAAGATGTTTTGGATTTTTAGTTGCAGATTTCTAAGGTTTCAGCTTGATTACCTGTATTTTATACACTGGCGATCTATTTTTCTGGAACTGTTATGAGTTAATGTTTGTGTTACTAAAATTAGAGTGAGCTCTACTCAGTATACACTAAATAGAAATTCAAAGTAACTGCTGGATGTTACTAAGGATAGGAAACCTGAACAAAGATTGAGCCAGAATCTGGATATTCCCCACTGCTTAGATGGTTCAGGTAAAATCAGGCATTCAAATAAATAAGACATTCAAAGAATGGCTAAGAAATTTTGGATTTATCTTTAGTGATGGTACAATATCAAAATCTCATAAAGGCTTTGATAGAAAAAAATCATCCTGGAGGCTGAACCCTTAGAAACTCTAGCACTATACTGTCCAAAACTGTGCAGTGAGCCACATGGGCTTATTGAGGATTGGAAATGTAATCAGTCTCAATTAAGATGTGCTACAATCATAAAACACATCAGATTTCAAAAACAGCAGAAAAAACAATCTAAAATACTTAACAACTTTTATATTTATTATGTATTGAAATTGTATTTTGAATATATTGAGTTTAAAAATTAATATTATTAAAATTAATTTTATTTATCTATGTACATTTTAATGTGTCTGCTAGAAAATATAAAGTTTTATAATATGGTTCACATATTTTTATTGGACAGCATAGAAATGTCAAAATAGAAGTAATTCTTCTTGATCAGCATATCCTCACTATTCTCAATTTTCTTAAGAATATTTCTGACACACTCGATGGTTTATGTGCTTAAATTTCTAATGCAATAGTTTTGCGCCTCTAAAAAAATGAATCTTTGCTGGTAAACAAATGAGAGGTGGACAGGTCTTGTCTGACCACATCTAATAAGGGTCCAACTTCATACTTTGGGGATGG